CCCCTCTCAGATGGTCATGGTCCTATTGCTTATTAAGGTGAAAATTTGGCCGATTGTCCCTTTCTGTATTCAATCGATTGTTTAATAAATGGTCCTCTTTTATCTTTCACAGTCTAAAGATTCTTTTTGGGCAAACCAAAAATCTTTTGAGAAAATATTAGACCTGAACAAACATTTTTCTCACAGTCTAAAAACTCATCACTTTTATGAGTCTAAAGTTGTCCGGGGAGGGGGTAATTTTTCAAGGGCTATATTTGTGTTGGGTGTGCGAACAAAGTCCCACATTGGTAGCTGAAAAGATTGTAAGTCCACATATAAGGGTGTAGGGAACTCTTAATGGTGTGAGGCCTTTTGGGAAAAACCGTGCGGGCTTGGCCCAAAGCGGACAATATCACACCATATTAAGAGTGTATTTGGGCTAGTTTAGCCCAACAACTGGAATCAGAGCGTAGGCTTGCTTTGAGCACTCTAATTTCTTCAAAGTAACAGCGCCGGAGGCACGACCCGGCCAATTAAGGCCAGGAGCGCATCGCCGGCAGAAGGGACGAGACGACCGGTGCACACCTAGGGCGGACCGGCCGGCCCATCCCAAAGTCCAACTACGAGCTTTTTAACTGCACCGGTCAGAGCCCAGGTTTGCCTCTTCCTCGACATAACAACTGGTATCAGAGCCCAGGTTCAACGGGACGAGTATGGAGATGGCGGAGTGATGGTGCGGGACAACACGCACACAAGAAGAAGCTAGTTGCGGGCTTCGGTTACCATAATATTCTAACAATGTGGGTGGCACACAGTAATCTCGAAAACTGACTTGTGGATCGTGGTAGTGTGCCACGTGGAACTTAGTTCGAGGGGGAGATTGTTGGGTGTGCGAACAAAGTCCCACATTGATAGCTGAAAAGATTGGGAGTCTACATATAAGGGTGTAGGGATCTCTTAATGGTGTGAGGCCTTTTAGGGAAAACCGTACGGGCTTGGCCCAAAGCGGACAATATCACACCATATTAAGAGTGTATTTGGGCTAGTTTAGCCCAACAATTTGTACTATTTTTTTTAAAGTAAGGACAAAATCTAAACAATAGCCTAAAAAGGACATTTGCGTAAATCAGCACTTGGTTAGCCACTGAAAAATGTTTAAAGAATGGTAGCTATTTACCTTAATGGCCACCTAATTTGGGGTAGAAATAGGGCGGGATAGCAATTTTTTAATATGGTATCTAGTTTTTATTCAATATTTTTAATGCTGAGCAAAAATAGCCACTACTCTATTAAAAATAATATGAAAAGATATTTTTACCCTTCTTCACGAGTGCTGTGTAAATATTAAGGACATGATGTCCTTAACATTTACACTGCACACATGAAGTTAAGGACACCATGTCCTTAACATTTACACCGCACATATAAAGTTAAGGACATGATGTCCTAAAATTTAACAACGGAAGGTGCAAATACATGACACTTTGTCCTTCATATTTACACAGCATTCATGAAGTTAATGACACCATGTCCTTAATATTTACACAACACCCATATCTAGCACAAGGGTATTTTCGTCCGGGCGAGTGGGTAAAATTTTATTAAGCACTGGCTAAAAAATAAATATATTTAGTGGCTAAAGAGTAAAGACATCTCTAGTTAGTGGCTAACTGTGTGCACTTACCCCTTTGGGCAGGCCACTTGTACGTGAACAGTGATGTGTACGGTTTTGGAGTGGTTTTGCTGGAGATAATTACGGGCCTTCGGGTACTGGATCTAACCAGGCCCACTGGGCAACATGATTTAGTAGATTGGGCCAAGCCTTTATTACCTGACAAGAGGAAACTAAGGAAAATGATGGACTCAAAGCTACAAGGACGTTATCCTATAAATGCTGCATTTCAAATAGCGCAACTCATATTACAATGCCTCGAGTCTGATCCTAAAACTAGACCATCTATGGAACAAGTTTTAGAGTGTTTAGAACAATGCACTGCCATGAAGATGAACAAAGCCATGCATTCCAACGAGCATTGGCAACGTCAGTCAGGCGATCATCGGAACAATAGCTACCAATCTCAGCAAATGCCTCGTCACGTTGAGAAAACCGCTAGCGGCAATGTGATTGGCAGCAGAGCCCATCGTTCTCCGATCAACCGGACCTATTAAAATTTGAAAGGGAATATATTATACTGGATTATTTTTTCGGATTTTGAACAGTTTTTCGTTCAGATTTATCTTTACATGAAAAATGGCTAAATTTCGATTACTTTTTGAAATTGTGACTATTTTTGAATGACCATTGTAAATATGGTTATTTTTGAATTTCTCCCAAATTTGAAAGGGAGCATAAGAGATGGGGAATGGACTCATCCCAGGGAATTGTATCAAAACATGTACGTGATCCAACAATTCTCTAAGGAGGCCCATTTAGTGGTCCAGTTAGACTTGTTGACATTTTATAGCGGTATTAAAGGAAGTGGTGAGTAAGCTTATAAATTATACAAGGAGAAGCAATTGTATGTAATACTTTATTTTTTTGGATTAAATGATAGGGTTGTTGTCTATTATCTTGCATGATTCTATTTAGGTTCTTTCTTTTTCCTGAAACTTTATTCAGGTTCCAATTCATTTGCTTTTAATTGATGGTGTTTAGAAACTAATACTATATTTTTGCCGAAAAACTATTTTAACTTTTGAAAATAGAAATCAACTAAAACTCAAAAAAATTACAATTAAATTATTTAATTTCTAGAAACAATTGAGCCCATTCCGGATTCGCATTTGAGCCCACCCGGTGTCCGGTACCCGCATTTGAGCCCGACCGTATCCGGATTCGCGCCGCGTAGGGCTCCATTCGGGGGAAGCGCTCCCTACCAAGGATTTTTCCATACTCAGGGCTCGAGCCTGAGACCGCTGGTTAAGGGAAGGGCAGCCCCATCCGCTGCACCACATCCATCTACTGCACCACATCCTTTGGTGGTGGTCTAAAATCTTTACCTCAACTACTTTCCATACACATATAACTTTGCAAGTCGAGGGCCTTTCCAGCAGGTATCTGCATTCTAATACTAAAGTTTTGGCCGGATGATGATCAGATACATTGTGTAGTAACACGTGCATTGCAACTTCAACTGCTAACCTCCAGTAGGGGTGTACATGGATTTTGTTGGTTCGGTTTTTATCAAGACCAAACCAAACTAATTATATCAATTTTGGATTGGTTCGATTTTGTCGGGTTTTAGGGCTTTTTCGTTACATGAATATTATTTCAATCTTACTTTGTTAAAGATATAGATAAAGTTTATATAAGTGAATATATGTCAGTAAAAATTGAAAAAATTGACAAATATATGATCTATTAAAATATTCTTATGGGAGAATTATTTAGTAACACATGATGGTCATTTCTTAGTCATCTAACAATAATTTTTCGTTGATGTACGCTTTCAACGTTAACCAAATTTAATAATTAAACATAAAAATCAATATGATACCTAAATAGTTATAGGTTCTATTTAATTTTAAAATTTTGAAATACCATCTCAAATTCGAAAAAGATATAAGAAATCTTGACATATGAATATGGAAGAACAAAGAGATCATTGATGCATTTCAATAACACTTGATAAGAAAGTGATACAACCCATAAAGTAAATAAAAACGAATGCACTTCATAGTTCTATTAAATATTACACCCCATGAGAGGATCCCAAATATTTATAGATATTTTTTAAAGAAAATTTTATATAAAGGCTTAAAAGTATATATAAAAATTATATATTTATATGTCGGTTTGGTTCGGAATTTTTTTACTCAATACCAAACCAAATCAAATCAAACCTATTCGGCGTTTTTAATCGGTTTGATTTGACTTTTCGTTTTGGTGCGGTTTTCCGATTCGGTTTGAACACCCCTACGGCTCCAGTGATGTGATTTTTCTATCCCCGAAGAGTTAAGAGTATGATCTTGATACATTGTGTGATTTTTCTATCTCCCACTGCTACATTGTGATTTTTCAAGCTCCAAGATCAGCATAAGACAATTGGTAAACCACAATCCGACCTGTAAAACCAAGAATCCATCGTCCAAGTCCGTTACTAAATCGATCTTCGCGCTACCATCAGTGAGCTGATACCAATTGGTGAGAGGTAGTTTCAAGGAGACAGGTTTTGTCAGGATCTTGAGTTAGAGATTTCAGCTTCAGGATATCATAGATGCCACTATGACCATATGAACTAGGATAGCTTTTTCTGCAATGTTTAGGAATCAAGATGTCTCCAGTTCATCATATCATATGCAAATCGTGAACGACAGAGCAAGAAACATCCATTCCTAGTACTCAACTGCAGTTCAGGCTATACGAAATGTCCACAATTCTCACAAGGAACTGCTGCTACCAAAAGAGCTTCCTAAATGAGGCTGTGAATCACAAAGAAACAGGAGTCTAATCATTTGGTTTTGGGAAGACCAACAAACATCGATACATTCCTCCAGATCAGCTTCGCACGTCAATAATACCCAGTCAGAATCATCATCCAAGTATTTAAGGTGAAATCCACTTGGATCATCTACGCCAAAGCGCCTGACAATTTCTCTCATCAGTTCTTTATATCCCCAATTCTTTTGCATGCGGAATCTAATCTTCTCTTCTCCGTGTATTACTTTTATTCTTGGGGCACCTTCTTGAGATCTCCACAGACTCTTTTTTACTGGCGAAAGACTTACTGATTTAGGACTCTCAGTAAGAGACGCGTGGCTTTGAGATCTTGGCTGTGGATTTAGTGCTTCACTTGATAAATGCAGCTCAGCATCACTGTTAACCCTTTTTAATGCATGATTATCAGACGCTTCCTCGACCACTGGATCTTCGTGACCTGCAACTTTTGACGGGTAAGGATGTGGCTGTGTCCCGGTTGATCGTTGACTTGAACTGGAACCTTGACTACAGGACGAGGAGACTGACTTATATGTAGCAGCATTGTTACCACCACTTTCTGGTTGCCTGTTCAAGTCCTCCAGATGATTATTCGACGTTGGATCTACAAAGAGACTTGATCTTGATATATTTGAAGATGCCAATTCTGGGAAGTCTGAATAGAAGGATTCAATTTGTAAAGTGCCAGAGACACCTTGGACTGAGTTGATGACACGTTGGATCCTTTCTAAGGAGAGACCGACCTTCTTTATCTTCCGAGAAGGCCATCGTTGAATTCCATGTTGCCTGCATATCCTCTTCAGAGTGGTAGGACAAACTGAAGTTTAAGAGGACACGGACATGGGAGTGAAAAAAAACTGATATGTTAAAAATGCTTGCATAGAAGAAAGCACCATTAGATAAAGTAACCAGATGAGAAAAAACGATAAATGAATTGAGAATAAGCTTGCTTACCACCAATGCTTTTTGCAGCATCCTTCAGGCTACCAGCAAAGTACTGCTGAAGAATTTGCAATGTAATATTTTTCTCTGCCTTCAAACGTCTTCTGTCTCTTGCTTTACGCCAAGTATGAGAGATGCCCTCCCCAGAAGTACGATAGTTTCTGCTAAAGGCAAAAGTGGTCGCTGAACCAGAATTCGTTTGGTTCCTAAATGTTACAGGTTCTTCAGTCAGCACTTCAACTGTTTCATCTTGGAATGCTGAAACAACACTAGACGTCTCCTGGACCTCTACATGACTAGAGGTCCACGACGTCCTTTCTTGTGAAGATACAATGGATCCTTTGCGTTCTTGTTCTCTCACCTCTTCACTGTATTCACTAGCTGCAAGGCTTGTCACTTCACCTAAAGAGACAATTTCTTCCTGTAATTCTTTGTCTGTCACTACCCGGAATGTCTGACAAACATTTTGTATGATAATGGACAATGAAGTGAGCATTCTTTTATGTTCTTCAGGATTTCTGCAATTTGGCGGTAAAAAGAACTCCAATACAAAGTCAGATGAGCCAGTTGACATACTCCGCAGACGTATAGCTACAGCAGCATGCAACCCAAACATTCTTGCATAATGAGAAAGTGGGTATTCTGCCTTGCTATAGGAAGTTAGATCAGCCGTAAAACACGGTTGGTTTGTCATAAATGCACTCCCGACAACACCCTGACCTTTCAGCAAATGGTGCTCAGAGCAAGCTTCATGAAAACCCTGAACTCGAGGATCAGCTACATAGCAAGCAGAATCCTCTGTGGAAACACAACGAACGAGGTTTACATTAGAGTGGCGGCTACCCCCTTTACCATGTTGAATGCAAGGTACCCAAGTCTGAGCTAATGGCAATCCATGCGTCTTGCATGCAGATTTCAGAACCTCTAGAATTTCAGATAACGCGGCTTGGTAGGCCAAATCACATGCCTGACAAAATTATCCCACATATTATGACGAAAAAATCATGGTAACCAAAGGCACATACTTTTTGCAGGTTTTACCCTTACCTTCGCTGTCAGAGTGCTTGACACTTCAGAACTCCGAAGATCAACAGCCTATCAACAAGCAAATTGTTGGTAGACCATCAGGAAACAGAAGATTGACTTTATTTCCACAAGAACGCCAAACAAGCAATTCAATTTGCATAACAAAAGCAAGATCCATAAACATTGAAATTAAGGCAAAAAGTCTTTCAACGAGAGGTGCAGCTTATGAGACAGTATTATAATTAATCTTATCTGGTAACCAAGAGAAATAATGATCAAAGAAATCAGTGAAGTGCATAAATAGGCCAATGTTTGTAAGTGCTTGTTCAGACCATAAAATTCCAGCAATTTAAGGAAACAATAAATTCAGAAAAGGTAAAAGAAATGACAAACCTCAAGAGCTTTGCAGACACTTTCAAGCTCAGAGCTATACTTGATCTTCCGTGTGGTCATGACAACTTCAATAACACTCAAGCAGTTACGACTGCCTTGTTCAAACACAGGAACAGCAAGGGTGCCTCGTACGTTATACTGCTGTGCATGTCCAACACGCGGATACTCTTCCATTTGGAAATACTGAACATCAGGAGTCCACTCAGGAACTTTATCCAGAAAAACTCTACCCGGTAATCCAACAATCTCTTTAGAATCGTCGTTTGCAGGAAATTGATAGCTTAAAGACGCTTGTCTGTAGTGGGCAAGCCTAGGGCAATTAAGGTCTAGCGAGAAAGGTTGATCATTTGTAGAGAGTACGCGTTTGCCATCCCTGTATATGGGTACCCATATTTGAATAAGGATATCCTTGTCTTTGGAGAAATTCTTTATGTATCCAAGTGCCTGAATCAATCTGTCCATTACAGATGAAGAAGCATTGGGTCCGATCCACCACCTCCTACTCAGTTCAGGAGCGTCAAATAAACAATTTTCAGATTGACCTGAACTGCACATGGCGCTAATCGAATTCTCACCAAAAGACTGAACTTTAGCTGAATTTAGCTCTTGGAATTGGCTTATGGATAAAGTCTTGGAGAAAGATGACCTTTGCCTTTCTTGTTGGCCATCTTTCGATGGGCTTCCACTAGATTCGACACCATTGGCGTCTAATAAAGTAGGCCACACAAATGAAGAGTCAAACGGCATATTGGAAATGGATGGTCTATGATGCACGAAATCACGATCATCAATAGTCTCCAAAAAGCACCCTTCTAACAACAGTTCATCCATGTAATCCAAATCCATGGAGGTATCAAATTGAGTAGTCAAGAAAGTATTGGTAACAACAAATCTTTCATCCATTGACATCAAAATGTCACTAGACCCAAATTTCTGGTAATCAGTCTTTATCTAAAAGACTTCAGCTTTGCAAAACAAAATCTGCCAAATTACCAATAGATGCTCTAACTGAGATCTGCAATAAAGCAAGCATAAGGGAATAAGTTCAAAGAGCAATAAAGGAGGAATATTTGTGTATGTATTTTGCTCCACAATCGAATATAGGAAAGATCAACAAATTTTACCAACTTGGGTTTTCTAATTATGTTATACACATCTGATTAAAACGGTAGCCCGATGCACTAAGCTCCCGCTATGCACGGGTCCGGGGAAGGGCCGGACAACAAGGATCTATTATACGCGGCCTTACCCTGCATTTTTAAATAGGTTGTTTCCACGGGTCGAACCCGTCACCTCTTGGACACATGGCAGCAACTTTATCAGTTACGCCAAGGCTCCCTTCATATGTTTTCAAAATTAGAAGAAATAAAGAGCTACAACTAAAACACAGATCTATACAACAATAACTTAAACACAAGATAGTTGAAAGAAATAAGGACAAAACAAGGAAAGTGAACAGTGTCTTTTCAGTAGATTGTCCCAACAGGATCTAACAATGGTAACCCCTCTAACTTTCAAAAATACAGTTAAAGTTTTACAATGAGACATAAAGCCAATTTGCTAAAAGTAACTGTTTCAACAGGGAAGGCAAAAAACAGAAAAGCAATAAAAATTGCAGCCTAGTAAGTGAAATCACAGACAAAAGAGCAATCAATCAAAAGAGATGAGAAACTTACTATGCAAAGATTTCTTGGATATTTCCAAAGATGAGATTTTTCCTGTTCCTATATGTAGTAAAAATGTAACCTTTGCAAGAAAATTATAGTATTTTCCAAAAACTACATGTGGTTGTCTGACAAGCAGCAACAAGAACAACATAAATATGGGTGTAGGGTCTGAACTGACTGTCCCTTTTAATGTTGTCCCTCTAGAAATCCCCTCCACAAACACAACCCATTCTCTCTCTCTCTCTCTCTCTCCTAGTTATTATCTGTGATTCCAAACTCTTATGATTCTCTCTTAGCTTAGTCTGCCAACAAAGAGAAGATTCTGCTTAACAAGCACAGGGCCCACAACCCCTTTGGAATACACCTACAAAGTCAACTTCAAATCACTAATCCAAATCCATAAACTGAGGTATTAATATAACAAAGAAAAAGAGAAAATGCTGACAAGAAAAGCATTCGTGGTTTTTAGACAGTAAATTAAAGAAAGTAGTAAACCTTTTGAATTGTTTTTTTCGTTCTCATATGCATTGAAAATGAAAAAGTATAAACAATGCATTTCTTTCTCACTTTTTTGGTCATCACTTACCACATATTCAGGGTTGGTGGAGTAGTAGTGTGTCGAGTAGGACTTTAATTACTTGTTTGCCACTTCATACTCAGAAAATGAGAAAAAACCTTTACTTGCAGGTAATTTAGGACCATGTTTGATCCCAGCCATCACTTAAAAGAGCAGTCTGGTGCACAAGGCAACCCGTATTCATGCAAAGTATAGGTAAGAGCGGCACCTCAAGTGGTGTGATGTAAATATATTAACCTAATACAACTATTAATGGCTGCTTCCACGACTCGAACACATGACCTATAAGTTATAGAAATAACTTTATTGTTGATCCAAGGCTTCGGCGCCCATTAGTCTTATACTTTTTCTTTTGTAGTATCTTACATCGAGCGTAACATAGCTTTATTCGGAGTTAAGTCAACGTCCACGGTCCTTTTCTTACCATGGTAGTAGAGTTAGACACATTCCGAAATTGCAAGGGTATTAGAGTCCCACATTGATTGAGTAATAGAAAGCAGTATTTAGTGAAAATACATATAACCTGAGTGATACATTGTGAAGACAAAGTAATACCCAACTTGGTTGAGCTTTTTTGTCAAATGTGAAAGCGAAGTGTGTTTTCCCTGGAATCCGGATAACAATTGAATTTATATGGGGTTTTAAGGATCCGTGAACTAAAAGATACAAAAGGCTTTTAGGTTGAGGAAAATAAAGATAAAGACTCAACAATTGCTGTTAAAGTAAATAATCGCAGAATATAATATTGCTTAGAACAATTGTGCTTGATGCCCCACAAGAATTTAGAGAGATACCCATTTATACATTCTGATTAAGGGTAAAAATAAGGTAGGTAAATTGATTACATCGTGGATCCCTGTAATTACGCCTTAATGGCCTGAAGTGGTTGAGAAAATCACATTTGGGCGAGATATCCGGCGACGCTTGGTTATCCGTTACGAGCCCGGCTTCCGACCTTGTGTGTTTCTCCATCCGGTGGTGATTCCTTTCGAGCTCTGTAACGGTCTCGAAATGACTCGACCTCGGTTGTAGACGTGGCCGTCGTTCTACCTTGCATCCAGGTCGGGTTCGATGGCCCCGACTTGCTCCGGACCGGACCCAACCCGGTCGGGCTCAAGCAAAAAAGGGTATCACCCAATACAGATAGTCCCCTCGTTTATTAGAGAGTAATGATAATAAACGATATGACCGGTGACGTGATGCCCGTGACGTATGGCCATACGCCAGGTGAAAAAGCCATCGAGTGCTCTGACCACGCCTGCTGCAGGCATTTAATGCTTCTCTTAATTATCTGTCGCTTCGTGTCTGTGGCTTCGCGATTCGTGCCACCGCCTCATGGAAAAAGTATAAACGACCCTTCCAGGTTCAACATTTCCTATCTTTCTCAAATTCTGCGTTGGTTGTATTTTCTTTTCATCTCTTCGTAAAGCTTTAAGAAATGGCGAAAACTTCACAAAGTGTTCCTTCTAGACCAAGCTCGGCCGCGAGCCCCGCTAGATCTGATGAACATGCACCAGAACCCCCATTGAAAGCATTCACACCGACTGGTTGCTCGGTATCTGCCGACTTCCAGGTTGAAAACCCATCATCGGTCCCGGGCCGCGGCGAACCGGCATCGGAGTATATTAGTCTAATCACTCCCGGTTGCCTAGACCGGGTGAGGGCTGAATGTAGATGGGAAGGGAAAGACCTGGTCGCCCCTTCCCGTGACGAGTCGATTATGACTCACGTTGAAGGATATCTTAGTGTATATACATATCCCTTCACCTTAGGCCCCTTAGAACCCATCATAGTGGAGTTCTGCCGGCGGTACGAGGTGACCTTAGGTCAGATCCACCCCTCGATGTGGCGGATCGTATATCTCTTTCGGTTTTTTGTTGAGAGAGTCGAGGGCGATTTCCCCTTTACCCTCGACCATCTTCTTCGACTATACAGCCCCCGAATATTTCGAGGGGGATTAATAAAACTGGCCCGCCGGGCTAGCAAACCCCCATTCTCCAGCATCGATGAAGACAAAGATCGAGGCTGGATGAGCAGGTTTGTCCGGATCAGGACGTCCGACCTGATTCCGGCCGATTGCATGCCATTTCCGGAGAGGTGGAACCTCAAACGTAAGTATTTTCTCACTGTTCATCTTTTAGAGCGTGTTTTCCTCAACTTCTTCCTGAAACCCCCTTTTCTTGTGCAGCGGTGACCCAAACTCCAGCTGCCGTCAAGGATCTGGCCGGCTGGGTAAACAAGATAGTGGCCCAGCGGCCATATTCGGAGCGAAACTGGAAGGAAATCTCCAAAGGTCGGTGGGAGGCGAAAAACCATGGTAAGCCTTCTTTTTGACCGGTAGCGCATTTTTTCCTGTATATCGGGAATGCATCATAACCCTCGTGTTTTGCAGGCTTGCCCAAGGACGCGGAGATGAGGTCTTCAATACTATGCCCCCTTCCGGTTCCGGGAGAAAATAAAAGGCCCGGGGAGTCCGGTACGGACGAGCCCCAAAGGAAGATTAAGCGGACAAAAAGGGCCGCCCGCAAACTAAAAAGCCAAATCGTCTTGTCCTCCGAGGAGGAGGACGACAAAGAGGATGACGATGAGGAGCAGCCGGAGCTCGTCCGCCATCGATCCATTCGACCGGACCCTGAGCCGGTGGTCGATCCAGCTGAGGCTCCTCCCGAGGACGTGAGGGTTGAGGATGCTAGTGAACCCTCGGCCCCTGCGCGGGCGTCCCCGGGTACCGATCACCCGGTTACGTCCCCCCCGTCTTCCTCGACTTGGGGGCAGCTGCCGGACGACATCCCGATGATGGGAGGTAGCTTCGAGACCTTTTTTGATGGGGTACCCTCCGCCAACACTTTCGGGCTCGAAATCCCCCGGAAAGACCTTCAGGCCGAATCAAGTGGGACTTCGGCCGTCAACAAGCTTGTTGATAGGTTTCCAGCTCCGAGCCTGGACCCGGACTGTAACAGGATAGTAACTTTTGCTATCCCCAAAGACGTCCGGGCTCTGGGGCCCCCGGTCGGGGTTGCAAGCTATCTTCATCACCTGATGACGGAGGAAGACCGGGCTGCAACCGAGGCTGTAGATTGGACATGCCTTTTCAACGAAGCCCAACAGGCGCAGCTCAAGGTACTTGCTTCTTCCTTTATTTCTAATATTTTTGCCTTGTGATTCAGTACTGACTCTTTAGACTTTTTCTTTGCAGGCATCGGTGCTATATCACTCGATGTTCCTCCGGATCAAGGACAAAATGGAGACGGAGCGAGAGGGGCGCCGGGTCCTTGAAGAAAAGCTGCTAGAAAGCCGGACCGGATTGGACCTTTTGAACAAAGAGCACGCGTCCTGTGCTATCCGGCTGGAGGAAGCGAAGAAAGAGCTTGGTTATAAGCTAAGGGGGGTGCAAGCCGAGCTTAATCGGGTTAAGGCCGAGCTTGACGAGAGCAGAGCCGAACTTGATGAGAACAAAGCCGAACTGGAAGCCCGGGTGCAACAGTTGGAGTCGGAGAAGACTTCCCTTCGGAAAGAGGTTGCGGACTTGACGTTGGCCAATGAGGCTCGAGTCCTTGAAATTGAGCTATGGACCAATCGATTTCGGGAAGCTGAGGCTAAAGTTTCCCAAGCCGAGGAGACTGCCAACGATCTGGTGGCCCAATATAGGGCCGATGCTGATGCGGCCAACCAGCAGTCAAGAATGTTAGCCGAATATGCGAAGTGTCAGGCCCGGCTTGAAGTTCTTACTGAACTCCAACGTCGCGGTTTCGATCTTGCATCGGACGTCGCCCAAAGCCGCCGAAGCTGAGGACGCTTCGAGAAGGGCGACGTTCCCCGAAGAATTCGAGGATGGCTCCGATTGACTCCGGGAATAGGCTAGGCTTTGTTTTGTTTTTCCCTTCTTATGTAATTGCTCCGGTAGCGAGCTTTTTTATGCAACACTGCCCTTTGCCATTTATTGCTCCTTTTTCCATCTTGTTATTACTTTGCCTTTCATCTTTTTGGAACGATGGTAGTCCTTTATATTTTTCGAAATAGTCTCCGAGTGAATGTATTCGAACTCAGGTGAATTTCGACCTTCGGGTTTTCTCAAGGCAGTCCCCGAGTGAGTTGATTCGAGCTCGGGTGAAGTCTAACCCTTAGGTTTCTTCGAAGCAGTCCCCGAGTGAGTGGGTTCGGACTCGGGCATAATTTGACCTTCAGGTTTTGTATCGATTTTACGCCTTTTTCTTAAGGTCTTACAAGTTCGAGTATACTTCGCCTTTTAGTGAAGTCGATGATGAAGCCGGTATTACCTCTTTTTGAGATTTTATGAATTTGGACCCGCCTTCTCGAGGACTTATGGTCAAAATAATGCCTTATCGAGGCCTTACGAATTTCGAACTCACCTTTGAGGCTTTTCAGTTTTATGTGTCGCCTTATTAAGGTCTTATGAGCTTGGACTTGCCTTCTTGAGGTCTTATAGTTTAAGTGTTGCCTCATTGAGGTCTTATGAGCTTAAAGCAGGTCTTATGTGATCGAATATGAGATCGAATATGCCTCGA